ACGTACGTGCAATGTATCCATGAGATTTCAATTTCAAGTACAAATGGTGGTTAGTTCTACCAAACTGAAATTCAGACGCACTTGTTATCCACGGGCCACCAATTGGATTTTAAGGACTAAATAGAATTATGATTAATAAAGTTAGGTTGCTTTTAGGGTTTAAGGATAGAATTAATGCGGTTGATGATATGCGATACAGTGGATCGATATCGAAAGCGCCCCATCTCTTGGGCAGGTATGTAATCCGCGCCCAATTGAAAGTAATTTATTGAGTAACTTTACTAATTACATTTATACTACTCATATTACTAAAAGTCCCCGCACCTAACCTGTATTCGGAGTTTGCTTTCATTTTAAACCCCAAACCCTTTAAATACTACACTAGAGTGTATAAGGATATTTATGATTGGGTGGCACATTTGTTTCTGCCTATCCAATTATAACTTTGCAGATTTCTATGTAGAATCATTTTTTTAAAACCACGACATTTAAACCCTGCCACTATTGACATCTCAATCAGCTGGTTAGATCGCTGTTAAGCAACCGAACCACACCCCTTTACTATAAGTATTCGTGGTGTCTTAAGGAATAGAAACGTAGAGTATACATCAGAATAGCCGACATGATACTACGTAAGCCTCGTAGTTCCTCATGATCACTTACTTAAAACGCATTAAACTTGGTGGTTCTATGCACTGCTTCTTCAGGACATTTTGCGCCTATTGCATAAATGTGAATTGTGTGATACTTTGTCTTTACCAACATTTGTATACATTACATGTCACTAGTTTGGCTTAATTACTAGAAAAGTGCACGATAATGGTCTGACAATAATGCATTTATTGCGCGTAGAACCTAAAAATACATTAAGTACCATGAGGTCTCGCAGTCCTGTCCGTGTTTGAGGGGGAGCTGAGGCTTTGTCCACGTAACCGATAAGATTTAACAGATCTATCCACGAAATGCTAATTGCATTATGACCCTCTGCCGTCGCATGCAACATCCCTCCCGAACCAACTAAACAAAATGTACCTTGCGCACTTAGCCCTTGCTTGCGTCTAAGAAGCTTCTTAGTCTAATCCTCAGCTCAAGAGGATCTGGTTGTCTGAAAAGTTAGCTAAGTTCAAATGTGAATGTTTTAGCCTTTACTGGTTAACTTTGGTGGGTTATGAGCAAATAATAGACGGAAACGGAACGTCAATGAAAGACTGGAACATTTGAAGGAACGCTACACGCAAGGACGACAAGACTGGGTTTTAAATAACAGTCAAACCTTTAAAAAGTGGACTTATGCTCCAGATAGAAATTGGCCCGAGGCTGGCAAATTGTCCAAAGGCAAATTCCATGAAGAAGACCGGGAGGCCCGTGGCCGCCAGCATGATGACATAGGGAACGAGGAAGGCACCTAGAAGGACGAAGAAGCAAATTAACTCCGCCTGCCTCAACTAGAAATCTTACCCAGACATCTCATGTGAAAACACCCTTTAACATCGAGAATAACGACTACTTGCCGTTCTAGATTGATTATTTTTATGCAAACTGCTTAAAGCTCAAGTGTGTTTATAACATACTGTGCTAACGCCTTCACCCTGGTTGGAGCCAATCAGTAAACATGGCATACAATGA